AACACCAATAGGTCTCGTACATCCCCGCGTGCAGGCTACGTTTCTGATCCAAAAGTAGCATGGACCGTGCCGCCGCAGTGTGTACTGTGCTCTTGACATACAAACCACATGATTGTGCGTGTCCGAAGATGTTGGTATGCTATGCATGTATGAGATGAAAAGTCAGATTAGATAGCTTTGATCACCAGACAGGTTGTGAGGATTCACGGAAACAAAGCAGCTTTCAGACCAGGAAATACGACAATCACTGTACGTTTGCAACAGTGCGCTGTTCGAGAACCTGTATCAAAGCAGGGGTGGAGTATGTGAGCACAATCCGGGTAAAACTCAACTTGATTCCCCTAAATTTATGTGCCGAAGATCAGTCAATCCGTGCAAAATAACGCCACAGAGTATCATGGATGAAACGGATGCCAGGTGCTGGCCTATCACAAGCACCCTGCGGTGTCTGAAGCTTCTGGAAAGAACCGACGGTAAGGATGCTATTGACATCGACCAGCCGCCACTTCTTGCAGCCAATCGCAGTTGTCACGGGGGCCCCATCCTGAAAGACCAACCATACCAACACCCAAACTCTCAGCGGTTCGCACGATTCTAAGGGAGGCACGAAGAACGATACTCATTTCGGTAGACGGTGCTTCGGCATGTGTACCACACGGCCGAGCCACAGTTTTTGATGGCATTGGACGTTCCCCACGTATGAAGTACCATACAACAACACATCTCTTCCTGTAATCTGGTACCCGCGACCTGCGAAACCCAGCGACATTCCTTTTTGACACCACAAGCGACCCAAATTAACGAACGTGATTAGGGCCTTTGACATTCGAACACTGACTTCATCAGACACACTTTGGTTGGAGCTAATAAAACTGCAGTAAAATTCTCCGCAACCTCACATACGCATCCTTGAACAGTATTCTTCAGTGACGGCAAAAACTACAGTAAACTTCTCCGCAACCTCATATACGCATCCTTGAACAGTATTCTTCAGCGACGGTACGTTCTGAAGCACGACACTGCACTCTGAAAGTGTCAGGAGCGCGCCAGAAGACGGCTTGACGAGGGTTAACTTAGTTAACAGGGTTTGTGTTTCACCTTCCTCCTCAAACATGGGGACGACGTCGTCCGCGTGCTCTACATCGACAAGGCTCTCACCACCGACTATTTGGAAGCCACGGTTTTGAACAAGAGTGTAGAGTGAAAATCCTTGCCAGACACGACCCTTGGAGGCAAACTTTTAGAGAGCTCACCATACATTCACACGCCCAGAAGTAGGTGGATGGAGAAACCGGGTTGTGAACAAACTTCTGAGGCATACCCTGTTGAGCGTGTGGTTAAGAGCACTAACCAGTCGATAGAATCAAACGCACCTTTTAGGTCAAGGAGCACCAAGATTGTGGGTTGTCTGAAAACATAGCGTTGCTGTGACACCTGGCGGACTGTAAGATGTGGTCGACCCAGCCCAGTCAAAATCGCCCTTGATGCTCATGCACCAAGGAGTCGCGTGCTGCCCTAAAGCAACGATGAATCAGTGACACCATAAGCCTTGTTACAAAGTGAGTCAAACACCTCTGTGACCACTAGATTTGCTGTGAGTATCCTTTTCGGAAATGGGTACTATTACAGACACACTTCAGTTTTCTCAGAATTTCTCTTTCTTCCGGACGCAAATAGACCAAACAGGTAATGGTTGAGGAATTCACCGTCACTTCTGAACAAAGCAGATGGAAGGGCGTCAGAACCAGACGCGTGACGCTTGAGTACAGTACGGGGATTAAAATCAGGACCCAATCCCAAGAGTATTTTGTTTCTACTCGATAGACTTCTAAAGAGTACCGTTAAGCCGTTCAACTTGTCCGTTACCGGGTAGATCGTAAGCGGTGATTCAACTGATTGCCATACCCCTGTCGTGAAGAAACGCTCACCTAACATGAAAACTCGACCAGAATCAGAATGGACGTATGAGGGCATTCCGATAAAAGAGAGCAACTGATTAAAACACTTGATCACAGTGGATGAGGACACATCCGTACACGCGAAGGCGAATGGGAAATGAGCATTCGTAGATCATTATTCAAAGGGATTTGTTGTGGGAAGCCGATGGAAGTGTGCCTTTAAAATCAGTGCTGGCGCGTTCAAACGGTTGCGTATCTTTAATAAAATTGCCAGAAGGGTGATTGAGGAGACGAGGCTTCAATTCTGAACAAATACTACACTGATTTGTAATCGCCTTAACATCCTCGATCGAAAACGGCAAATTTTTTGAGCGAACGAAATGAAGCATCTGCGTGATGCCGAGGCGACAACGTGTTATGGTGTTTGGGATCCACGTGTGACATCGCAGATGTGTGATCAGTCGGCAAGAGCGCGTCAGCGGCCTTATTTTGATTACGTGGACGGTACTCGACATTGTAATGAAAACATAAAGGCTTCAATAATCGCGTACGATTCTTTTTCGATTGCTGAATGATGACGCGCACTGTGTGACAGAGTGCGTGAAAAGAAAGCTACCGGACACCCGTCTTGATCGAGAGTGGCCACGACGGTCGTCAGAAGCATCAGATTCCACAACGAGCGGACGAGTGTAGTCTATGGTGGACACGGCGGCCTTTTCCAAATCGTGTTTTAGATTGTTCAATGCAACTTGTACGTTATCTGGAACGGGAAAAGTCTGACTGTGGACGATTTCAAGAAATTTATCCGAAAAACATGGGACTCAGTGTGCGTAGTATGCCAACATTCGTCGTCAATGAATGTCACATGGATGAGGCAACTTCCTTAGGGCTCGAAAACGGTCAGGGTCTGTTTTTATCATACCGTGAAATATTTAGTATCCTAGTGATAGTACTTTCGCAGTAACTGTGATGTTCTTTAGGAATTTCTACAAAGTTCGAGCATGTTCTGGGCATCGTGGCCACACACGGTAACAGTGCTAACATATGCGAATGTATCGAGGAGACCTTCCTCGCGAATGATGTTGCCGGTGGTGCGTTAAAAGCAAGCCACACCATTAGTAACTGCGAACGGAACGCAGAGAACTTGAAACAGTTTACCACATACCTCGAATGCAGTATACGGCTTGTCTTTGTCGAGAATGGGAATCTGGTGGTAAGCATTTTGAAGGCCTAGTGTGCTAAACACCATGTAATGGAAAACCTTCTCCACAAGTTCGTCCACCTTTGACAGAGGATACGCATTAAGGTACGTGAAGCGATTTGTGGTTTGACTGCAATCGATGACCATGCGCTTCTTATGATCTTCTTTTGCAGTAATGAGAACCTGGGCCCCCCAAGGCGAGTTAAACGGTT